GCTGAGATATCAAAATTCAAAATTTCGACCCGAAAAAAAAACGACAGTGTTACCCCTTTCGTTTTTTTTTCATTTTGGGCGAAAAATTAAGTTTCTCCAATCTTCTCAAAACTCTGGATTCTGATAGAGGCCACGAGACTTTGACCTGAGTGCAAAAATGGAGGCTCTAGACCCTTCCAGAGCTGAGATATCGAAATTCAAAATTTCGACCCGAAAAAAAAACGACAGTGTTACCCCTTTCGTTTTTTCGGGCGAAAAATTAAGTTTCTCCAATCTTCTCAAAACTCTGGATTATGATAGAGGGCTGTGAGACTTTGACCTGAGTGCAAAAATGGAGGCTCTAGACCCTTCCAGAGCTGAGATATCAAAATTCAAAATTTCGACCCGAAAAAAAAAACGACAGTGTTACCCCTTACGTTTTTTTCCTTTTTGGGCGAAAAATTAAGTTTCTCCAATCTTCTCAAAACTCTGGATTATGATAGAGGGCTGTGAGACTTTGACCTGAGTGCAAAAATGGAGGCTCTAGACCCTTCCAGAGCTGAGATATCGAAATTCAAAATTTCGACCCGAAAAAAAAAACGACAGTGTTACCCCTTTCGTTTTTTTTCAATTTTGGGCGAAAAATTAAGTTTCTCCAATCTTCTCAAAACTCTGGATTATGATAGAGGGCCACGAGACTTTGACCTGAGTGCAAAAATGGATGATCTAGACCCTTCCAGAGCTGAGATATCAAAATTCAAAATTTCGACCCGAAAAAAAAAACGACAGTGTTACCCCTTTCATTTTTTTCATTTTTGGGCGAAAAATTAAGTTTCTCCAATCTTCTCAAAACTCTGGATTCTGATAGAGGGCCACAAGACTTTGACCTGAGTGCAAAAATGGATGATCTAGACCCTTCCAGAGCTGAGATATCAAAATTCAAAATTTCGACCCGAAAAAAAAACGACAGTGTTACCCCTTTCGTTTTTTTCCATTTTGGGCGAAAAATTAAGTTTCTCCAATCTTCTCAAAACTCTGGATTATGATAGAGGGCCATGAGACTTTGACCTGAGTGCAAAAATGGAGGCTCTAGACCCTTCCAGAGCTGAGATATCAAAATTCAAAATTTCGACCCGAAAAAAAAACGACAGTGTTACCCCTTTCGTTTTTTTTCCATTTTTGGGCGAAAAATTAAGTTTCTCCAATCTTCTCAAAACTCTGGATTATGATAGAGGGCTGTGAGACTTTGACCTGAGTGCAAAAATGGAGGATCTAGACCCTTCCAGAGCTGAGATATCAAATTCAAAATTTCGACCCGAAAAAAAAAAAAACGACAGTGTTACCCCTTTCGTTTTTTTCCATTTTTGGGCGAAAAATTAAGTTTCTCCAATCTTCTCAAAACTCTGGATTCTGATAGAGGGCCACGAGACTTTGACCTGAGTGCAAAAATGGAGGCTCTAGACCCTTCCAGAGCTGAGATATCAAATTCAAAATTTCGACCCGAAAAAAAAAACGACAGTGTTACCCCTTTCGTTTTTTTTCATTTTTGGGCGAAAAATTAAGTTTCTCCAATCTTCTCAAAACTCTGGATTCTGATAGAGGGCCATGAGACTTTGACCTGAGTGCAAAAATGGAGGCTCTAGACCCTTCCAGAGCTGAGATATCAAAATTCAAAATTTCGACCCGAAAAAAAAACGACAGTGTTACCCCTTTCGTTTTTTTCATTTTGGGCGAAAAATTAAGTTTCTCCAATCTTCTCAAAACTCTGGATTATGATAGAGGGCCACGAGACTTTGACCTGAGTGCAAAAATGGAGGCTCTAGACCCTTCCAGAGCTGAGATATCGAAATTCAAAATTTCGACCCGAAAAAAAACGACAGTGTTACCCCTTTCGTTTTTTTTTTTTTTGGGCGAAAAATTAAGTTTCTCCAATCTTCTCAAAACTCTGGATTCTGATAGAAGGCCGCGAGACTTTGACCTGAGTGCAAAAATGGAGGCTCTAGACCCTTCCAGAGCTGAGATATCGAAATTCAAAATTTCGACCCGAAAAAAAAACGACAGTGTTACCCCTTTCGTTTTTTTCCATTTTCGGGCGAAAAATTAAGTTTCTCCAATCTTCTCAAAACTCTGGATTATGATAGAGGGCCACGAGACTTTGACCTGAGTGCAAAAATGGAGGCTCTAGACCCTTCCAGAGCTGAGATATCGAAACTCAAAATTTCGACCCGAAAAAAAACGACAGTGTTACCCCTTTCGTTTTTTTTTCATTTTTGGGCGAAAAATTAAGTTTCTCCAATCTTCTCAAAACTCTGGATTCTGATAGAAGGCCGCAAGACTTTGACCTGAGTGCAAAAATGGAGGCTCTAGACCCTTCCAGAGCTGAGATATCAAAATTCTAAATTTCGACCCGAAAAAAAAACGACAGTGTTACCCCTTTCGTTTTTTTCTGTTTTTGGGCGAAAAATTAAGTTTCTCCAATCTTCTCAAAACTCTGGATTATGATAGAGGGCCACGAAACTTTGACCTGAGTGCAAAAATAGAGGCTCTAGACCAGTGGTTCTCAAAGTGGGGTCCGCGGACCCCTGGTGGTCCGCGAGCTAAAGCCAGGGGGTCCGCGAAATAATTTACAACCTAACGTTTTTTTCCATGCTATAAGTCATGTTTTCTTTATCATCTGAAAACATGCTGTTTATTCCTAAGTAACTTATATAAAGCATTTAACATAAAACAATACAAAGTAGACACTTAAAGTTTTCTATAGATAGAATCTATGTCTTTGCGTCAAGTAGACTATTCGCTGCTGTTGATTTTGCGGGACGTGCGCCAGAAAGGAGACAGAGAGACGGCATGAACCCGCATCCGGTTGTTTTCTGTATTTTTTAAAAGGCATGACATTTTGTAGTCATTTATAATGTAGCCTATACACAAATAAAAAAATGGACACTTTACCGTTTCGGATGATGCACTCTTGCTTATCTTATGACCATAAATAAGAGTTCCTGTTTCCACTGCTGAGGAAAAATTCCATGTAATTGCGCGCCGGCGTCTCGCGGTGCGCGCACAATAGTCAGTTCTAGCACTGCTACTGTAGATTTGACATTAGAAGTCTGATCATTATCAAAATAAAAGTGCATAGTGACAGGGCCGTACCCACAACTGAGGTTGCAAGGATGCACATCGCGATGATACTGACCTTCTCGTCTGAGGTGCTTCAGCAGACTAACAACGATAGCTCGTCAATGTCAAAATGTTTGAGTCGGAGTGAACTCAAAGTTCCCCGCACGACGTTTCAGTCAACGGTCATAAAGTGCGAGATAAGATGTAGGCCTTAATTAACAAACAGCTGTTTTAGATAAAAGTTTTAAAAACGACTGAAACAATCAGTTTGCAAAGTATTAATCAAGCTCAACTTTAACAAAGGAAAAAGCAGGTCAATAGAAACATACTGTGCCCATGAGATTAACATTATGGATTCATATATTTAACATATACTGTATGTTTTTTTTAGCTAATTACAGTAGCGCAAATTAACAACGCACGCACCTATTAAACATAATGCCATTATCATTGTATTTATAGGCTTATGGGCTTTATTTGTGTGCAGAATAGGCCTAATTATTGAAAACATTTCTCTTTTAAGGCCATTCCTGATTGGAATATGTGATTGTGTTTCGTGACATCTTGACAAAAAAAAAAAAAATGTATGCCACTGACTGACATGCTTCTACTAAATCTATAGTTGTCCAATTGTGGGGCCTTAAAACACCTTAAAATGCACATGTGTAGATCAAGAACATCAAAAATTCCTAAGTGAGGGATCCTAAGTGATTCCTAGCAAGATCACTTTCGTTACCTCAGTAGGCTATTTAGAAATTCCTGCATAGTACCCTGGGTGGAGACCATTCATTTTGTGCAAAAATATTTCATTTGCCGCTCACACATTAACTTTGTGCTCAATAACTGTTATAAATATGAGGGGGGTCCTTGGAATTTTTTTTCCCCTGAAAGGGCTCCCTGGCACCAAAATGTTTGAGAACCCCTGCTCTAGACCCTTCCAGAGCTGAGATATCAAAATTCAAAATTTCGACCCGAAAAAAAAAACGACAGTGTTACCCCTTTCGTTTTTTTTCATTTTTGGCCGAAAAATTAAGTTTCTCCAATCTTCTCAAACCTCTGGATTCTGATAGAAGGCCGCGAGACTTTGACCTGAGTGCAAAAATGGATGATCTAGACCCTTCCAGAGCTGAGATATCAAAATTCAAAATTTCGACCCGAAAAAAAAAAACGACAGTGTTACCCCTTTCGTTTTTTTTCATTTTTGGCCGAAAAATTAAGTTTCTCCAATCTTCTCAAACCTCTGGATTCTGATAGAAGGCCGCGAGACTTTGACCTGAGTGCAAAAATGGAGGCTCTAGACCCTTCCAGAGCTGAGATATCGAAACTCAAAATTTCGACCCGAAAAAAAAACGACAGTGTTACCCCTTTCGTTTTTTTCTGTTTTCGGGTGAAAAATTAAGTTTCTCCAATCTTCTCAAAACTCTGGATTATGATAGAGGGCTGTGAGACTTTGACCTGAGTGCAAAAATGGATGATCTAGACCCTTCCAGAGCTGAGATATCAAAATTCAAAATTTCGACCCGAAAAAAAAAAACGACATTGTTACCCCTTTCGTTTTTTTCAATTTTCAGGCAAAAAATTAAGTTTCTCCAATCTTCTCAAAACTCTGGATTCTGATAGAAGGCCGCGAGACTGACCTGAGTGCAAAAATGGATGATCTAGACCCTTCCAGAGCTGAGATATCAAAATTCAAAATTTCGACCCGGAAAAAAAACGACAGTGTTACCCCTTTCGTTTTTTTTCATTTTTGGGCGAAAAATTAAGTTTCTCCAATCTTCTTGAAACTCTGGATTATGATAGAGGGCCATGAGACTTCGACCTGAGTGCAAAAATGGATGATCTAGACCCTTCCAGAGCTGAGATAGTGAGATATTTATAATAGCATAAATGGGTCAAACACAGTATTAGTATGGTGTTCCTAATAATCTTTTAGGTGAGTGTGTGTCAGTGTGTGTGTTTGTGTGGTATTTTAATATGAGTCATTAGATGTTTTGACTTAGAACTGAACTGATTTCATACCTAATGTTACGTGTCACATGCCAAAATGCATTAGAATCAGTTTAGAACATTACTAATGTTAACATATTTAACTACAAAAGTAACGTGTTACACACTGTAGATGTGACCAAAAAAAGTCACTTTTTAGGGAATAACTCAATGGTGTGCAACTACTGTTGTTACCCAATATTGTAACTGCTATATATATGTTTTAAAGCTTGCTGTGTGTACTTTGCTATAACAGACTCGTTACTGTTGCGCTCTTGTTGCTTCTATTGCTCTCCTCATCTGTAAGTCGCTTTGGATAAAAGCTTCTGCTAAATGAATAAATGGAAATGGAAACTGGTATGAGTGTGTGGGACAGTGTGGTGTGTGTAACTGGTATCACGTCTCGATGTGTTGCAGGATGAGCTGTAAGGTGGCGCTGTTGCTGCTCCTCTCCGGCGCGCTGTACGTCTCCGCCGCCCGTAAGAAACGTCCGCACTCCTCCATCCCGTCCTCCTACAAGCCCGGCTCCAACGCCTCGGACCGGCGCGGACAGGAAGTGTTGGCGTCCAGCCAGGAAGCGCTGGTGGTGACGGAGCGGCAGTACCTGCGGAGCGACTGGTGTAAGACTCAGCCGCTGCGTCAGACGGTCAGCCAGGACTCGTGCCGGAGCCGCACCGTCATCAACCGCTTCTGCTACGGCCAGTGCAACTCCTTCTACATCCCGCGGCACGTGCGCAAGGAGCAGGAGTCGTTCCAGTCGTGCGCCTTCTGCCGGCCGCAGCGCTTCACCAGCCTCACGGTGGAGCTCGAGTGTCCCGACCTGCAGCCGCCCGTCCGGTTCCGCAAGATCCCGCGGGTCAAGCAGTGCCGCTGCATGTCCGTCAGCGTGTCCGAGGCCGGCAAGCTGTGAGCGCTCACTGACACTCGATCCAGAACACACTCTCAGAAGAGTATACACAACCTGGAACACTCTTAAAGGGATAGTTCACACAGAAATGAACATTAGCCCATGATTTACTCACTGTCAGACGAATACTATCCGAGTTATGTTAAAAAAATGTCCCGGCTCTTCCTAGCTTTATAGTGGCCGTTTCTGTTTTGAAGTCCATAAACTTGCATCCACCATCATATAAGTGCACCCACGGCTTCATACTGTGTGCAGAACCTTTCACGCTTGGGGTCCCCTGTGTGGTTGCACATTGACACTAACAGTCAGTCACTAATCCTCTAATGACATGGAGTTAGTTATGGACTGTCTAAAGTAGGCGATGGATCTAAAGTTAGAGCTATTGCTTTCCTGGAGCTCAGAGAGCAGAGCGCTGGCAACATCACGGTCATGGGTTCGAGTCCCAGGGAAAGCAAGAACTGGTAAGGATGTAAATGTGTAGCTTGAATCGCAATGTTGATCATTTGGGATAAAAGTGTCTGAAACACGACAGTATTATGCTATAATTTCTCCTCGATCCTTTTTTCTAAGCGTTCAGACTGGTTATAGAGATTCTATAGAAATAAGGTACCACAGAACTATATATACATGTGTGTATGTAGAGAAACAACTCAAGTCCATATCAAAACTATAGCTTATTGTGCGTGATGTAAAGCAGTTTTTCTTCATCAAAGTTAATAAAACTAAGATTATTGGAGTTTTACACGAAAACACAATTTGTCTTTTTGCTTCATTGTAACTTGCCGTTTCTGAGTGAAAGTTGTTTCAGAGTAACTCCAGATCACACCAGTATACTCCAGTCATTGACTGTAAAAGATACACTGACACCAGTATTCCCCAGTACACCAGATGTAAATCTGCAGATTTGTGTTTGCTGATTTTGAGAGAAAGTCTGTAAGAGATTTCAATTATCGGGAACTGGAGCTATTAAACATGTCTGTTCACTGAAATTAATTATTAGTTGGAAATTAGAAATTTTAACTTAAATACGTTTTAGTTGAAGCACTAACATTATAAATTGGAAATAAATCAAAGCTAAAACACAAATTAATCCGGAACAGCAATAAAAAAAAAAAAAAAAAGCCAGATTAAATATGAAACTAAAACACTGGATCAAGTAAATCTTTAATCAAGTGAAATAAATTCAAATGTCTGAAATTATTAATCGCTTTATTTTACATAAATTACAGTCTTCTCAAAACGTTCGGATACAAACAGTTATTGCACACGCAGCGCGGACGGATCCGGCCTCCCACACGGACATGCTAAAAACAAACCGCAACGCTACATAAAGATGCTAATAACATTTACATTCGTTTAAAAAACATCATTTTTAAATACTTTAGTGAGTGTGTGTGTGTGAGTGTGTGTGTGTGTGGATGCGCAAAACAATCTTGCATAATTTCACAAAAACACTGAGTTGATTTCCTGAACGTTCACCGTTTCCTCCGTCCTCTTCACATGGGGTGTCTCTCCCGGGTCCTGTAGGCTCGGCTGTGCTTTGGACATGTTGAACTGCTGATTAAAAGCGTGTGACGCTCCAACGCTGATGTTCACAGATCCAGATTTCTCCTTCCCTGTTCTCTATTAAAAATAAAAGACACTTTTTTTCCCTCTGATGACGTTGAGAACTTCAGCGGGGATTGTGGGAATTCTAGAGCAAACATCTGATATGTTCGTCAGCGCACAGGATGTGACATCACATTCTGTGTCTGTACAGCAGAAGTAACACTGAAGCTGTGTGTGCGAGAGCGAGTTAAAGATCGAACAGCAAGAGCGTTCATTCCTTCATCAGACGTCTCAGATCTTCATACCCAACTTTGCTTTCTGAGGGACACAAAAAAGAACAATTTCATTATTAAAATGACGTTACGCTGATTTAAAGGCTCCTAATGTTGTTTTAGAGTCTCCTGAACACTGTAATGCCCTCATCATCTCCACCGCAGCGTCAGCTCTTTCCTCTCAGACACTCTAAGCCCCGCCTCTCTGAGAGCTGATTGGTCAGGAAGCAAACGCTCATTATCATATCTGAATCTCAGCTCTTGATCACAGTGATCTGAACAGTGACGATGGCGTGGGTTTCACCGTATCAATCTCAGAAAACATGAACACGAGCTGAACTCTTCCAGTCTCAGATACACTAGTGTTTGAGGGCGGAGCTAAGAGACGCTGCTCAGCCAATCAGGACCACAGGCGGAAATTATGCTAATTAGCTACAATTCTACGCGGGATCAGCAGGAAGTGAGAATGAATTACTGATGAAGTGAATAGCAGACATTGTTTCAATTTGAGTATAATTCACATTGGATAAGTGTGTGTGTGTGTGTGTGAGTGTGTGAAAAGAGAGTGATAAATAAATGGTGACTTACAATTCCAGACGCGTGTTTGGGTTTGACGCTGTACGTGGCCTTTTCTTTGACCTGTCGGAAACACTCCTCCGCCGCCTTCAACCTGAGGAAACAGCAGAGGCAAACCAGTCAACACACACACACTCACACACACACACATACTCTCTGACACACTCACATCTGACCGTCTGAACACAGATGATTGAGCAGCGCAGGAGCGGATCCTACACACACACACACACACACACACACACATTTCTTCAGCAGGTCATGTGTTTCATGACCTCCAGCCAGTGAATGAAGCCGGAGCTCCATAATAGGCCATGTTAAGAGTCACACACCAATCGTGACGCTGCAGGGAGAACACACTCATGTAACACACACACACACAGGCGCATTAAGAGAGTCTGAGCGTGTGGCTCGATCAGCAGTTTGAGAAGGACTCCAGACCCCTGTTCAGGCTCGAGAGGAACACACAGTTGAGTGTGTGATGTTTGTTGTTGTAACATCTACACTTTAAATTAATTTTAAACTGAGAAATAAAGTCATGTGATCTTAGAACGGATGAGCATTATTAGATGTGCTGATCCGCTTATATGAGTGTGTGTTCCTGCAGATCTGTCAATCTCACACACTGACGCTCGTCACTGGAGCGCAGCAGAAGCGCAGAGCACACACTTCCAGCGGGTGATGGATTCGGCTCTACGAGCTGGACATGTTTACAGCAGGGGGAATTATGGGTAAAGGGTGAGAGACACCCGGAACAGAGCCGTGCGTCTCAGAGCGCCGGACCGCGACACCTGACCAAACATGGAGCGTCTGCGGCTCGGGTCACGGCCCGCATCACTTCCTGCCGCACACAGCAGACACGGGACTAAACCATCAGCGGACACACACTCGCCAGAGGAGGAGAAATAACTCCGTAAAAATAAAGAAAAAGCATTAAAAAAATTGCTAAAATTATAAATGAAAAAAAAAATATATAAGGAATAATTCATAATTTGTATTGTAATAAAACTAATGAAAGAAAAAAGGGGAAAAAAAAAACAAAGACAAGAATTATGTAAATAAATAAAAATAAAGGTAAATCTAAAAAAAGGAAAATTAAACTATCAATAAATAAATAAAAGAAAGGAGCATAAAAAATACATAAAATCGAAATATAATAAATAAAAAGAGATCAATACGAAAAATAAATAAATAAACAGAAAAATTAAAAAAATTAATAAATGAAATCAATAAAAAGAACTAAACAAAATCTGAACTGGAGTGTGTAAAACACCAGTGTGTATCCAAACACACAACTCACATAAATAAATAGGAAAATATCCATTAAAGGGAAAAATAAATGAACAAAATTAAATGAAGAAGCAAAAATAAAAGAAACCGAATAGAAAGAAAAAATGTAAATGACAATTAAGAAAAAAGAAGTAAAGAAAAAAGTGAGAGCAAAGCAAGCTAAAAAATAAAATGAATATATTTCTGTCAGGTCCATTAAGTCAAGAACACACGACAATAAATGATCAGGCAATTGTATTGAATAAATGCAATTCAAGTTTATAATTAAAATGTGGCGGCATGGCTGTGTTCAGGGAGTCCTCTGACCTTTCATGAGCACCGCAGTGCATTAGCGGACGCTCGCGGTTTAGCACTGGGAGAGCAGAACTATTCCCCCACAGAAAAACACACGGCACGTTCCACACGACGAGGAGGAGCTGCGCTGCAGAGAGCGGATTGGATCGTCGATTAGCAGCAGCGAGAGGAGATGAACAGCAGATCGCTGATGACGCATCTGGACCACATGACCTGCCAGAACTCATGCTAACGCTCAATAAAGCAAGAGTGTGAGTGAGCGAGTGAGAGACCAGGTGAGTGAGTGAGCAAGTGAGTGTGAGAGAGTGAGTGAGTGAGCGAGTGAGTGAGAGAGTGAGTGAGTGAGCGAGCAAGTGAGTGTGAGTGAGCGAGCGAATGAGTGAGAGTGAGTGAGTGAGTGAGTGAGAGAGTGAGAGTGAGTGAGTGAGTGAGTGTGAGTGAGCGAGCGAGTGGTCTGAGAGTGTATGAGGACAAATGTGGAGAGTCGGTCCTCATGAATAATGAAGAGCTGAAGGGCTCGAGTGTGTGTGTGTGTGTGTGTGTGTGTGTGCTATCACGACGCTCCATCGCTCCACTGGAAGCGCTAGCACACTGCGTCGTACTCTCTGCATTAGCGGGGTTACACAAACACGCAGGGTTCATCGGCGCGCTCCAGTTTTCAGGGCCAATCCAAACGCAGCAGATATAATCTAATATCAAACACATGGCACAGGTTATGGGAGAGGACGAACCCCACACACACACACACACACACACACACACACACGTCATCTCGCTTTAGCTTGATGCATTTCCCAGAGAACACGGCGTCTTTCTGGTGTCTCGGTACACTTCAATAAACGCATTAACCGCTAGTCGACTAGAAGCGCAGTCGAACTGAACTGAACCAGTCGCTTGAGTCGCAGAAGAAAGAAAACCTTGAAAGAGTCGAAATCGTTAACGGCGGGAAATCCAAACATCCGTCGATCATTCGTGACACGGCTAATATCACTTCAAACATGAGAAGCACTTCACCTACTCGCTCCAATGCTAACAGACACGTGTGTGCTAGAATTAGGGACATTAGTGTTTGTGTGAGTGTGTGTTACTGCACGACAGTAACTACAAATCACTGCATGACACACACACACACACACACACACACACCACTGCATTTAACTCAATATACTGGTCCAGATGAGAGCAGTGCTGACTGTAAAGGGTCTCCCGCTATTTCTGTAAACTCTCAATAACAAACGTCCTGCTTTTGTATAATAATGGTGCTTTCCGTCGATTGGGTCTTGAACTTGAGCGCGTCACACACACACACACACACACACGAACCTGAACCCAGTGTATCACAGACATGAGACATACATCTATAGCAAGATTACATTTGAACAGATTCTAATGGAGAATATCATCAGGTGACGTAGAGCGTGAGAAACGAGCACACAGATGACGAGTCCGCATCGTGACATCTTATTTATAGGCGTGACACAAGAACACCTGACATGCAGATAAAACACAAAACCACACTAATAAAATAAATGATCATTTTTTTTAGTCTCATTCTGTTTTCTTCAACGACATCATAATCATCATGTCTGCCGTGGCGTTGTGCGCTGATCAGGCTATACGTATTTTATATAGGCGCATTATGATTTATGGTGAACATGATCTTTCCCGCATGATCAAACCGTCAGACTCATCTTTGATCTTCACACACACGTTCAGTCCCAACACACACACACACACACACTTCTCTGGAAGATTCAGGAGCGTCTAATTCCAGGAATGCTGATCCGCACACTTTTCCGTGTCAGAACAAAGCTTTCCTCCATCATATTCCCCTCTGAGAGAGCACATTTCAGCTCTTCCCATGATGCACCTGTGGATGGCATGCTCAGGTATTTGCATTAATGCCACACTAAATCACGCAGCTGGACAGCAGGCGCTCCTCAAACACACACCTCGGCCTCGGAAGACATTTCCACAACACTGAAGGAGCGAAGACTCGACAGAAGCACTTCATCAATCAGCCGGAGCTTCTTTATTCTCCATTACGCCACTGTGATCCGGGACTAAACACACACAC